TCTGTACGCAAAACCGGCCATAACTCAGAGTAATCAGAAAAAAGTTTAACATCAGCCCCTTGCCATCAAGTCTTAATTATCCAATGAAAAAAGGATGACCATGATTGTGATAGCCAATAAGTAACCTTTGTTGAATTTACGCGATGTAAGCTTGTACACTTGAAAGTCCCAGCTCTGAGGATGTTCGTCATGTGACGAATGAAAACGTTGGAGGATGTCTCGGGGACTGCATCAACCTGAATGGCCGCAATACAATGCATCTTTTGGTGAGAATGAGGAATGAATCTCTTCATCCTGTACTTCCATGCGAAATGAAAGTCTTCACAACACTCTTATCTCAGGAGATTCTACGAAACCCGCATTTTCATCTTCTATTCCGTGTAATTAGTCTTAAAGTAGAGGACCTGTATTAACCCTATTTCCTTTAGAGTAATGAAGGACGGTTAGTTTAAGTTTCCCACAAACATATAAGCAGATCTTATGTTACCACTGAATTTTACATATCCTTGCTTTCCAAAAGGGTAATTTGGGAAACAAGGATATGTGAAGTTCAATTGAAATATAAGGCATTCTCAAATGAATGTGGGAAAATTCAAGTAGCAGTCCTTCACTACCTTAAGCGAAATAGGGTTGATACAGCGCTTATATCAGATCTGCTGGTAGTCTCGAGAACCTTCTTATGAGACGGAAAAATAGGTCTGAAACTATGCCGACGTCAGGGCAGGCATTCTGTGCTTTTTATCGTCGAAGAAGATTTGGGTTCCGAAGAATCCCATAATTACTTTCTGATTCGACTGTTCATTTGGACGGGAAAGTTAGTCGGAAGGGATTCGTGGGTCAGCAGCACCGGAAGCTGTGTGAAAAGTAATTGCCTTGGAGTGGCGAGGAAGTCAGACCTTGTGAGTGCGAGTAGCCAGTATTATCCCAAACACTCACAAAATGCACTGAACCAAGAAAAGAGCGGTTGGCAACAATCATACTCCCTTTTTATGCCTAATTTTGTGATCTCACTCAGGCTTCCCACTATTTGGTTAACTATTTCATGCTTGCAGATTGGTTGGATTGAGGCATGAAAGGAAAGTGAATGTGGTCACCTACAAAATGGAAGTATGCTAATGCGGATTTTTCGTACATGCGACTTCTGTCACGAAAGGGATAGATGAAAGTTCAGCATGGATTCATCAGTTACATGACGTTTTCGCAAAATCCGATACTCTCCACTCCAAGGCATTCAATTCAATTTGGGTTTCCAGTGCGTCCGACTCATGAATCCCTTCCAGCCAATTTTTCTATAGAAGGGCAAGTCGATTCGCCTTAATGAGTACTTTTCCCGAGATTTTCGTTCTCATTTTTAGGCGCCATGACATTGGAGGGATATAAACTTTCCCCGAGATCATCGTCAATAATTCGCTTTTATCGCTATCCACCAGCATTGTAAAGGCCAGTGTCCTCCTCCCTTTCTCCGTCCTCCAGCCTGAAAAGCATGTATACAATTCTTTTCATAACAGTCTTGTTCTGCTCTGAAATTCGTACAGTCGGGTCGGACTCCTCTAGACAGGTTTTAGCCTCCTCCGCCTGTCTGGGCAGATTAGCCGACTGCTCAACCAAAGTATACCAGCTCAGGTTAACAGAGCCAGGGCAACTCTGCCGATTGCCTCGAATCGATAAGTGCGCCCAGGCAACAGCCCTTGTTTTCTTCCTCCCGGCCGGCCAAAGCCAAACCATTGGACAATGCCGGCTTCTCAGATTGATCTGTCTCTC